TGAGCAGGGAGCCCGATGCGGGACTCGATCCCGGGACTCCAGGATCATGACCTGAGCCGAAGGCAGTCGCTTAACCAACTGAGCCACCCAGGCGCCCCCAGAATGAAGGAATTTAAAGACCACAGCCCTTCCCCTCAAATTACATCTAGAAAGGGGTCCATAGCTTGTGTCTGATCTCCAGAGTGAAAAATACTCTTAAGCTCGCCGAAGGGCAGGAAATATCAAGGATTTACATCCTAGGCTACAGGCTTTATTCCTAGAAGCAGAGCTATTTGAAGATCATCACAGCTCTGCAGGACTTCCAACAGGCTCACTAAAGAGAAAAGATTTTTCCGTACTTCACAATGGAGAGAAAAATATTAACTTCTGGAACAAAACCCCAAGATCTCCCCAAAGCATTTTCCCTCTTCAGCAGAGGTCAAACGTCCATGAAAGAATCAATCTTAGGGGCACGGTTCCCAGTCAGATGCCTAGCAACTTGTTAATGAGATGAGGAAATTGTAACCTCTTAATCCATTCTTCTCCAACCAAAGCCCAGGATGCTGATGGGATAATAGATCCCCTGACAAGAACAAATCTCCTCTAGTCACAGAAGTCAAGTCCAAGGGTTCACTATACCTCTGTGTTCATGTCACAGTCCAGAGTCTGTAATTTTTGGAAGCTTATGAGGGACTGAATTATATCTAGTTATAGCACTACCCATTTGGTCATGTTTTAGAACTACACTACTGTTTGAATAGAACTGCATATCTTGATTATTAAATATGACCTTTCTCAGGGAGCCTGGGTGGCTCGGTTGGTGAAGCATCTGACTCTTGGTTCCAGCTCAGGTCATGATCTCAGGGTAGCGAGATTAAGCCCCACACCAGGCTCCAAGCTCAGCGGGAATCTGCTTGCCCCTCTCCCTCCTCCCCTGCCTCTGTCCCACCATTCGCGCTCTTTCTCTAAAATAAATAAATAAAATCTTTAAAAAAAAAAAAGCACAGACTTGCTTAATAAATTAATAAACTAGTTAAAACCATAATCCTCTGGTGCTCATAATGCAATGCCCCACTACCATCACCTCTAATGAGAAATAACTTGGGGATCTGACTGCAAAATTGGAATCTAGGTTTTGTAAACTTCAGGAAATTACTTTCCTATTCACAGTTTCTCACTGGTTACAAAAACCAACAAATAAAAAAAGAAGTATTGGGTGCCTGGGTGGCTCAGTCGGTTAAGTGTCTGCCTTCAGCTCGGGTCATGATCTCAGGGTCTTGGGATCGAACCCCACATTGGGCTCTCTGCTCAGTGGGGAGTCTGCTTCTCCCTCTCACTCTTCCTCTGTGCTCTCAGATAAATACAATCTTAAAAAAAGAATTATTTGAACATTACTGAACATGGTTTTTGTGAGGATTAAATGTGAAAATAGTAACTGTGTACAGTACACGGTGCCAGATGCAGTCTAAAAAATACTTCCGTTCCTAGTAACTGGGTTGATTCTCTAGATCAGGAGAGAGCACTATTTACTACTCTTAGCATTCAGAGAAGAAAAAAATGTAAGCAATATTTTGAAACACAGATATGGTACACTGTACGCATTCAGTAAATGTAGGTTAAATCAAAGTCAGATTCATTTCAGTATCACATTTATCATTATCAGAAAGTACCTAATAAAAGTAGCTGCCTAATTACCAAAGAAATTTAGGGGTTTTTTAACCCACAGGCTGACTTTTCATAAGCTTGACCATGCCATCCCAGAAGTAGGATATAATCCACTGACCCAGTGAGATGGGAAGCATAGCTGGCTGCAGCTGTTACTACCCCACACATGATGTCCTGACCAAGACTCAGCACAGAATCTCAACGTACTCTACTCAGAATGAAGGAATTTATTTATTTATTTATTTATTTATTTATTT